TCTCCACTAAAAATACAAAATTAGCCGGGCATGGTGGCAGGAACCTGTAATCCCAGCTACTCAGCAGGGTGAGCCAGGAGAATCATTTGAAGCCGGGAGGTGGAGCTTGCAGTGAGCAGAGATCACGCCACTGCACTCCAGCCTGGGCAACAGAGTGAGACTCCATCTCAAAGAAAAAAAAAAAAGACTATTTGTTGAATGTTGAAAGAAGGGGCTAAAATCAGTTGAAATTTGCAGTAGAAGGAAAACTGTGGAGTGTCTCATTCACTTCACTCTGCTTTGAATTTTTTTTTTTTTATTCTGAGACAGAGTATTGCTGTGTCACCCAGGCTAGAGTGCAACAGTGTGATATCAGCTCACTGCAACCTTCGCCTCCTGGGTTCAAGCAATTCTCCTGCCTCAGCCTCCTGAGTAGCTGGGATTACAGGCGTGCATCACCACACCTGGCTAATTCTTGTATTTTTAGTAGAAACGGGGTTTCACCATGTTGGCCAGGCTGGTCTTGAACTCCTGACCTCAGGTGATCTGCCCGCCTCGACTTCCCAAAGTGCTGGGATTACAGGCATGAGCCACCATGCCTGGCCTGATTTTTTTTTGTTTTTTTGAGCCAGGGTCTTGCTCTGTCCCCCAGGCTGGAGTGCAGTGGTGTACTCATGGCTGACTGCAGCCTCCAATTCCTAAACTCAAATGATCTTCTCACCTCACCATGCCAGGTAGCTAGGATTACAGATGTGTGCCGCCACACTAATTTTTTAAAATTTTTTTGTATAGATGGGGTCTCACTATGAGCCCAGGCTCATCTTGAAGTTCTGGGCTCAAGCAGTCCTCTTCCTTGGCTTCCCAAAGCACTGGGATTACAGGCGTGAGCCAGCATGCCAGCCGTCACTCTCATTTTTGAGCACAGGAATTGTGCCCAAAGGCTAGGATAAGGAATTAAAGATGCCAAGAAATACCCCCAAACATTAATTATAAAAGGAAGACTACACTAATGTTTGTGAAAAGCTTATAATAACATAGAGAAATAGTTAAGTTACAAAGTTAAATGAAAAAGTAGGGTATAAAACTGTATAAACAGTACAATCTCAACTATGTAAAAATCAACCAATATATGCCCTAAAAAGGCTGAAAGGAAACAGTTCAAACTGTTAATGTGGCTGTGTTTAAGAAGTGTATCTAATAGGGATCTTTTTTCTTCCTCTTTAGTTTTCTGTCTTTTCCAAATGTTTCTCTACTGGGGATATTTTTTTAAAAGCTATTAGGGGAGGAATAGAATAAAAATTAAAAAAAAAAAAGCTATTAGTTACAAAAAACTGAGTGTGATAGAAGTATTGAATTTGAGTTAATGAATTTAAGTCTAGCCTATAAGAGTTTGTATATTTAGAAAACTATGAAACATTCCAGGCTACTCCATGAATCCACTGGTAGGACCAGAGGTTAGAGGTGGAAGTGCCACCTGGTCCTGCCTGATGAAAAATGCCGAATCAGCCAGGCACGGTGGCTCACACGCCTGTAATCCAGCATTTTGGGAGGCTGAGGTGGGCGGATCACCTGAGGTCAGGAGTTTGAAACCAGCCTGGCCAACATGGCGAAACCCTGTCTCCACTAAAA